GTCACACAACGTACAAAGAACCAGGAAACCAAGTTCTTGTGAAAATGCAGAAGTCGGGGGGGTGGGTGTGGAAATTAACTGAAGAAAAGATGCACTCCTCTCAACTGTTCTGCCAACCCCGCTAGCTGGTAAACCTAAAGGGTTTCAAAGTAATGAGATCCTCTTAAAAGGGAAAACTACACTCTATGCTCTAAAAGTCTTCTTTACCGCCATGTATAATAAGGGCAAGTGAGTCCCCAGGAAAGCATTTATTTTTTCCCTGTTGAACACAAATTACCTTAAACAGTCAATTTACTATGTACAGGCAGCAGGTTCAGGAACTACCAGAGACCTTGGATGTGCTAAGATCTAAGATCAGTACAGCTCAGGGCACAACTGTCCCAGTGACTAGTGGAAAGCTGTATTATAAGGCCATGCTTGTTTAATGTGCTTGGGAAATTTGTTCTCTAGACTGTCATGGTTCCAAAAAAATAATCAATCTTGAGACTAGGAGACGTAAAAAGCTTGACCAAGTAGGGAGAATCTGATTCCACAAACCAGCAGCATTAGTCCATTTCTTTTGGGCCTGAAGAAGTCACAGGGCATCTATCCTCCTCAAGGGAAGGGCTTCTCTGCCGAGGACTGAGGCAGGCAACACTCCACACCTGACAGCTCAAGGGAAGGGCTTCTCTGCCGAGGACTGAGGCAGGCGACACTCCACATCTGAGGGCACAGACAGTGCTCATGATTGGCCGCAACAGCACTGCTTCTACCCCGCACTTTGAGATTCACAAAGTCAGGTGCCATCTTTAAAAATATTCAGATTTTCAAGGGAGCTCTGGTGGCCTAGTGGCAAGACGCTGCACTGCAATCACAGAGGTACACGGTTCAAATCCACCAGATGCTCTGCTGGAGAAGGAGGGGGCAATCTCCTCCTTTACCAGTCAGATCTGATTTGACGGTACATGTAAAAATAATACAATGAAAATTAAAAAAAAATTCAGATTTTCTTTTCCTTCCATTTTTCTAATTGCCCAAGCAGCTATTCCAGGAAATTTTCTTCAATATCCCCACTAGAAATAAGAAGTTGAAAAGACTCAATCTCCTCTAGGATAGGGACACCTAACATCAGAGCCATTTTTAATTAAGCCTAAAATTTAGCTACAGAGTCCAGAGAATTGTCTTATTTCTCAACACTGGGAAACCCACAAATAAAAACGGGGTTGAAACAGGCAGGAAACACTAGTAATTCCAACTGCCTGGCTTGGGGTTGACAGTGCAACTCCACCCACACCACAGCTCCCTTTTGCCAACACTACAATTCCATCATTTAAAGCCATCAACTTTTTTGCTCTTCTCTGCTATTCGTTATCGAGCGCTCTCTCTCTCTCTCTCTCTCGCGCGCACACACACACACACACACACACACACACACACACACACACACACACACGGAAACCGAAAATACCATGGCTTGGGTTACCAGCCACTGCGCAGAAGATGAAATTTTGTTCTGATTTACAGCCTCAGAAATGAAACAGAGTGAATGGTGGTGAACGGAGTGAAATGTTGCTGCTCACACAGGTACTGGCTGTGGGTCCAAGAAAAGGAAACTTTGGGTAATTTCCACTTCTTTTCCATCTATCTGTTGCTTATTTTAAGGATTTTTGTTTTCTTCATGGTGAACTGTAATCTATACTGGACTATATCAATAAGCACAAAGTACTACTCTTCACATTCAGAAAGCAAGGATGTTTGAACTACATATTCAAGGTTATTAACTCAGCCTTTCTTCTTTCCACCAAGATTTTTTTTAATTTCTTTTTTACATTGGTTTGCTTACAAAGTTCATATACACTGTGTTTCACACTATCCTTCACTCTTGTTGTATTTCATACAATCATTCCCATTATGTTTTACAAAATTAATCATCATGGAATTATGCCCACCATCACTCTGTCTTTCCAGATCCTGGTTGGATCTTTCCTATTTCCTTTACCTACCCCTCCCTCCCACCAAATTGTGCGACCCTATGATATCCACCCCCGCCCATCCTCACCCCTCTGCTCCCACTCGACCCTCTATTTCTAAAATAGTCTTATGCAGTATTTGTCCTTATGAAATTAAGTTCGTTCACTCAGCATAATGTTCTCCAGTTCCTCTCAAATTATAAAGTAATTTTAGAAATTGTTTCTCCTGAGTGCTGCGTAGTATTTCATGTGAATGTACCACAAATTTCTCAACTCATTTGACTGTGTTTGGACATTTGGGCGGTCTTCATGGTCTTGTGATGGTTTGATGCTGTTCAACCATATTCAGTGTTGTTATGAACACTAGTGTACAAATCTCCTTTGGTGTCTCAGTTCTAACTTTCTTGGGGTATATTCTTAGCATTTATTCCTGATCCAGGCTATAGTCTTTGCAATTACACGCTATGCATCATAGAGTTGGACAGTAAATAGGGATGACACAAAGAGAATTGATGCCTTTGAGTTGTGGTGCTGGAAAAGAGTTTTGAATAGATCATGGACTGCTAGGAGAACAAACAGGTTTGTCCTGGAGAGGGTGAAGCCAGTTTGGCCCTTAGAGGCAAGGATTCTGAAGCTTCATCTGATGTAATTTGGGCATGTTGCAAGGAGGGACTGGGCCTTGGAGAGGGACATCATGTTTGGGAGAGTGGAGGGACAGTGCAGGAGAGGAAGACCCTCGATGAGATGGATCGATTCTGTGAGTGGAGTTGTGGGAATGAATGTGTTTGAGACAGCGAGGTTCAAACAGGACAGAACGGCGTTTAGGGCTCTTGTACACAGGGTTGCTGTGAGTTGCAGGCAACTCGATGGAACATAACAACAACATTTCTAGTAGTGGAATAGCTAGGTCATATGGAATTTCCAAGTTGAGCTTTTTGAGGAAATGCCAAAATGAGAGTAGTTGTACCATTTTACAATCTCACCAAGAGTGCATGAGAGTTCCTATCTCTCTGCATCCTCTAATGTTTACTGCTTGCTGTCCTAGTAAATAAACTCTGCCACTTCTACTGGGGTGAGATGGTATCTCACTGTGATTTTGATCTGAATCTCACTCACTGCCAGTAATTTTGACCATTTCTTCACATGTCTGTTGGCCATCTGAATGTTTTATCTCTGTGAAATGTTTTATCTTTTGCCCATTTTATTTATGTGTTTTCAGTCTTTTCCTTGTGGAAGTCCTGTAGGATTCTGTAAACTTTTGTCATGAGACCGTTGTCTGAGATGATATTGCCAAATGTTTGTTCCCTGTCAGTAGATTTTCTTTTCACCCTGTTGGTAAAAGTTTTTGATGCGTACAGGGATGTAATCTTTAAAAGGTCACAATCATCAATTTTATCCTACCTGGTTGTGCAACCACTAGTGTTTCTTGTTTGAGAACAATCCCTTCTTAGCATTTGTGGACTTTCAATCTTGGGAGTCAACGTTTCTATAGGGAACTTTGATGGCTTAGTGGTAAGAAGCTGCACTGTAATCCCTAAAGTATGTGGTTTGAATCCACCAACTGCTCTGTGGGAAAAGAAGGAACATTATCCTCTCGTGTAATTTGCTGCTTCTGGAAACCCATCCTTCTCCTGAGGAGCAGCTATGTATATAAAATACTATTTTTGTTGTTATGTGCCATCGAGTCACCTGCAACTCATAGCGACCCAATTACAACAGCCCAAACCCTGCTCTACCCTGTGCCAATCTTATTGTCTCTGACACATCCACCGCCATTACCTCCAGTAACTGAATCAATACATCTCATTGAGGGTCATCCTTTCTTGTACTGTCCCTTCACCCTCCCAAGCATGACGTCTTGCTCCAAGGACTGGTCCCTCCTTGTAACATGTCCAAAGTATGTCAGACGAAGATTCAGAATCCTTGCCTCCAAGGAGCAGCCTGGTCTCACACCCTCTAGAATGAACCTGTTTGTTCTCCTGGTTGTCTATGGTATATTCAATACTCTTCTCCAGTACTACAGCTCAAAGGTATCAATTCTCCTTCTATCATCGTTAGTCCTTGTCCAGCTTTCTGATGCACAGTAAGTAATTGCAAAAACTACAGCCTGGATCAGGCGTATCTTAGCCAAGAGACAAATGCTGAAAACCAAAACTTATTCATGGCTGCCAGGGATGGCTAGCAGGAGAAGGGAGAGCTAATGCTTAAGAGATGCCGATTTTTTATTTGGGATAAAAACGTCCTTCTTTTAATTACAGTGACATTCAGAATATCTCTAATGGGACACTGCTACACTCAAGGTTCGCCCCGGTCCTCACATGTCATTTTCTATGATGATAAAAGAGTTCTGCTGCAAAACCAAATGCACACAGTTCAAATCCACAAGCTGCTCTGTGGGAGGAGACAGGTGACCTCCTTCTGTGCAATTTATTTGTAATTAATTTTCTGAAACCCCCTGGAGAATTAGTTAGTCTTGAGTTGTTCCACTTGGCAGCATAGAACAACAATAATAACACCACCACCACACACACACAAAAAAAACACAAACCTACCTAGAAATTGACACAACTGAGCCTCGCAAGGCTTCTCTACCAGAATCGGGAAAGTACTTTTACCCCTGGTCTTGCTAGCATGCTTTCTGCTCAATGTCTTACTTAACATCATTCATTCAGGAGTATAAGCCCCAAAGAAAGTACTAGAACCACAAGTTATTAAGAGTTCTGTGATATTAAGTGAAAAGTTCCACAATTCAAAGGAAAAATTAGTATTTGAAGTACTCAATTCTTATCAAGAAAATTTCTGTAGAAAGCTTAACAGTGGTAACTAGCTTAACTGTATTAAACCAAAACACAAAAGGATGAAAAGAAACAACTGAAGCCAGACCACATGTATTCATTCAGACATCATCCTAAAGGAAAACTATTATCCCAACAATTGAATGCCATGTGTCCCTAGCTGGGTTAGTCCATTTACAGTCAATAGATAGTAATATTGATCCATTGTGAACCATCTCCAACTTCCCCTCGGAACTAAGCCAATTTGAAAGCCTACCTGAACTCTAAATCTCCACGTTGATCCAACAGGAATCCCAGGAATAGGTCCATAGTGGTTAGAAGGGACAATAGTACATTCTCTGGTACGACCAACACAGGCCATTCCCTGAAAAGTCACAAAACAAGCTGAGAAATCAGTTTTCTTCAAAGCTTACAGAAAGTCTATAATGTTGATAGAATAGGAATAAAATAGAAAACCTACTATTTATACAATTTAAGTAATAGTGATATTAACACTGGCTATTCCTTATGCTCTTAATATTATTGCACTGAAACATTGTAGCTTGCTAATAAAAAGAAAGGGAGGGGGAATAAAGGAGAACTTCTTGTTACCCGGCCCCAGTCTCTCCCGCTTCCAGTGGCCGATGGCATCTTTGCTTTCTTTTTACTCATCTTAAGTTTTTCACCAGCTTTCACAACTTCACTGGAATCAGTTTTACAAGAAGGACAATACCTTAAAAAAAATTCATATTAGAGTCAGTATCAGAATATGGTCTCACCAGACTAGATTTGTTTCTAAAATGCATTACTTGTTTACTTGGTAGTGCCAAGTCCCCAGGTTACAAATGACATCTATTCCCGTGTCTTATAAGAATTTGTAGGTCAAGTTGAACCAGGTAGAGATGACTCTTCTTTAGTCTTACTTGAACAAAGCTCTTCAATGATTTAAAAGCTGCACTTAACAGTTATCCACAGAGCTCTAATGGCACAGTGGTTAAAGCACTTGACCGCTAACTGAAAGTGGACAGTTCAAACCCACCAGCTGTGCTCCTCAGGAGAAAGCTGTGTCTCTACTTCCGTAAACATTCACATCCGGGAAACCAGAGGGCCGTTTTCGGGTCTATAGAGTTGCTGTGAATCAGAATGTACTTCCGGTCAGGGAGCTTTGTTTAACTTTGGTAACTCAGTGTGAGTCAGACATCTGTAATTTGGGGATTCCCTGTATATATTAACAAGCTGCAAAGGACATGAACAGTTCAAACTTTGAATTAAAAAAAGTTTGAACTTTAAAAAATATTTCTATGGCTGGACTGGGCAGGCCATTAAAATTCCTCATCACTCTTGTAAAGAACTTTCTTAACAGCATAATCCTCACACTGAATACAAAAGCAGATTCAAATGGCACCAATCTGAAAAGGTTATTCTGCGAGAAGGCTGGTCAATCTCCTCCTGTCTAAATAAGTGCCTCTGAAAACCCACTGGAGGACCATCTGTGGGTCAGTTCCAACTCGAAGGTAAACAACAACAGTTGAAGTTTTAATCATTAAAAGCAAAGCCAGTAAGAAGAGATGTTTCTATCGGAACAGTCACAAGAATGAGCAAAGTTTAAAATGTACAGTCTATTAAAACACATAAACAGAATCGGAAAGATGTTTTTATTAACTTTAATTCAATTCTAACATCTTACCCTTTAGTATATTTGCCATTATTTACAATGCTATTATAGAAAGATGGGCAATCTCCTCCTGTGTGATTTACTGCCTCTAATAATCCGCTGGAAGGTCAGCTATGGGTCGGTTCCGACTTGACAGCAAACAACAACAACAGTGCTCTGAGACACCTCTGGTGGCGTACCCCACAGGAAGTTACAATGTGAACCTAAAGGTCATGACTCTGGTTGTTCAAATCCACTGGTGGGTCTGCAGGGGGGGGAAATGAGCAATCTTCCCCCCTCACCCCACATATGTGATTTACAGCTTCAGAAACCCAAAAGGGAGAATCAGCTATGAGGTGATTACAACTTGACAGCAGTGGGTTGAATTTTTTAGTATTTCAGTAACTTGCAAGCCATTATGTCTTATCTTAAATATATTTATTTCTAAAACAAAAGCAAAGTATAAATACATCTATAGGATAAAGCAGGGCTATTTTTGTGTCACCAGTAAATGGAAATCTCTTACTAGGTAGCACTGGGGGCAAGAAGCTGTGCTACAATCCTGACGGCACGCGGTTTGAATCCACCAGCTGCTCCATGGGAGAAGGACGAGTAATCTCCTCCCAGCTATGGGTCAGTTCTGACTCAATGGTACACAACAACAGGATAAAACAGGGCTGTTTCTGTGTCAGCAACAAAAGGAAATCTTGGAAATATCTTACTAAAGATCTAACTCCCACATCCTCTTTTGACTTCCGCTTCCTATCTCTAGTTTAATTTCATAATTATCTATTCCATATGCTCTTAAAACAAGTCAACACTCACTAGTCAATTCTGATGGCCTAGTATTGACGTTATGAGTCTTCCAGAATTATGTGTTACATTAGCTAGCACCAGAAAGAAAAGGGTAAGTAATTCCATTCTTGCTTGGTCTTGAGGAAATGAGCTGGAGAGGTGAGAAACTTAAACTCTTATGGTCTGAGAAGAATCTGAGTATTACAAAAGGAAAAATCCCTTTTAATTGGGTAGACTTCTAAAATGTAATTTTTCAAAAAATACTTTCACCTGACATGCTAGCCTATAAGACTATGTTTTTAAAAGTCTTTACTATTCAAAGATATTTTCTTCTTTTGATGAGAAAATGACAAGCATCCAGAAATTGGACTTTGTGAGCAGGAAAGAGAACTTTATTTGAATGGAGAAATTCTCCGTGCAGTAATGTAAGTAATTAATTCATCTGTAAAGTGGTCCCTGACATTCATCCATCCTTTCAACAGGTTTGTTACAAAACTACTATGTGCCAGGCACTATCCTGGCCCTAACAATAAAAGTATGTGATCAATATGTTCCTATGCACAACTGAGGAAAACAATACATATAAGAAAAAATCTGCAGACTGCTAAGTGCAATGAGGGACACTCATCATCGGGGTAACGGGATCAGAGAGAGGGGGGCACATGCCCGCTTCTTCTGGCAGTGCAGATAAGGTTTCTGGGAGAACATTCCAACCGAGTTCAGTTGTATAAAGAAGCCCGGAGGCTTCCGAGGCAGAGAAACACAAGATCTGGAGGCATAAGGAATGGTCTGCTTTGGAGAAGGTAGTGGGGAGCAGCTGAAAGTTAGGAAGTAGAGCAGAAGTGACTAGGAACAGGAGTGGGCAGCAGCCGGCACATGGATGGTTAAGAGTCTGGACTGCCGTCTGAGTGCAGTGAGACGACGTAGGCATTGCTACCTTTTACGGAGTCAATTCTGACTCACCGTGACCCTGTGAGACATGCCCCCTATGATTTCCGAGGACGTCGATGACATGACTTAGAACAAAATCATGGCTTAAAATCACCTCTATATCTATGAATCTTTTTTTTTTAGTTGTTGTTGTTGGAAGCACAAGAATGCGGATGTGCAGGGGGAAGAGGGGATTAATCACTGGGTTGTATAATTTGAAGGGTGAGGGAAATGGAAAGAATTTGTTCAAATTTCTACTTGAATTCTATAAATAAACAAGCAGAAAAATTAAAAAAAAAAACACAAAACTATGAATGTTTTAAAGAAAAATGGCCATGGCAAGCAGATATTAAAGAAAGAGAGAGAGAGAGAGAGACAAGAACCACAGGAATAACTGACTTAAATGAATCAGAAGCTCAGATAAGACTCAAGCACATGCCAGTGGACTCAACGGCACCCAACAACAACCCACTCTTAGTACAAACACTAACTCTATGCTATTCCTCTTGAAATTCCTCAATGTTAACATTTGGTCCACAGTTTCAAAAGAAAACAAAACAAAAAGTCAATATGGCATTAAAAAGCTAGTTATAACTTCGCAGAACCACTTGTCAATCCCTTTTCTAGGAGTGGCATCCACTTCCTAAATAGTATGCATCCAGAAACCCTATGAACTTTGATCAATATTGATAGTTATAGAGGGGCTTCAAGCTTTTCGGTCATAGGGTCACTATGAGTTGTGCTTGACTCAAAGGCAATCAACAACAGTAGCAAACACTAACCAATAGAAAAGTATAGACTTAGGCCAAGACAAGTGTTGAATTCAACATCATAGGATTAAATAAAAGAATCCATATAATAAGGATTTTATTAGTGCCTAAAATGAACAAAAACTCTGAAGCAAACCTGAATGCCATGGGCTCAATTTCAATTCATAGCAACCTTATAGGACAGAGTGGAAATTCCCATACGTGTTCTGAGACTAAATCGTCACTGGAGGAGACTGCCTCATCTCCCATAGAGCAACTGGGCAACTCAAACTGTGGGCATTTTGGTTAGTAAAAGGCCAGCATATTCTAAACACTTAATAAAACCAAACTCACTGCCACTTTGTCAACTTTGACTCCTAGCAATCCTACATGGCACAGTGGGACTAACTGCCTACATGGTTTTCCAAAGTCGTAGGTCTTCACGGAAGCAGACTGCCACCAACTTTCTCCCCAAGATGTGGCTGGTGGGTTTGAACTCTCGATGTTTCAATTAGCAGCTGAGTCCTTAAACCTGAGTCAGCAGACATGGGTACCTCCTAGCTGGAGAATCAAGAGAGCTATTCTCAAAGGCTTCCCAGAGGAAGTCACAAGGAAGTATAAATCTGAAGGATGAGCTGGAGTAAAATGTTTCTAAAAAGAAAATGTGTCAAGTGTGAAAGCTCTGAGGAGAAACAGAATACAATAGAAGAATCAGAAAGATATTCAATCTAGCTAGTGTGAAAAATATTTGGGGAAATGAAAGAGGAACTACAGCTAAGAGATACAGCTGGAGACTTGACCTAATTCCAAGCAGGGAATGTTGCAGGGCCACAGAAGCTTCTTAAGGAAAGGAGGAGCCATTATCACATCTTCACTGCTGGGAGAACGGACTCTGTTCAGGAAAAGGGACTGGCAGGGGATGAAAATGGAGTTAGACATTTGTTCCAAACTTGGCGTAGGATGGATTCAACGGTGTCCCCAGGAGCCACTGCTGGTGCCGTCTGCAGCACTTTCATACACACTATGTGTTTTTAGAGCTACTTTCGGTGGTTCAAATACATATTTCCAATCCAATTCTTAATGTAAAACAACGAAGGAGAACTCTGATAATCTTACCAGTACTCCTCTTCTGGGATCTTATCCAGAGGTGGGTCCAGACAGTAGATGTGAAAGGCCAAGTTACACTCATCGCACAGAACCTGCATGCTGGGCTCCTGTTTCCCGCCACATATATGGCAGGAACAAGAACGGCATTTCTTATCTGGGTCTCCACCGCACAGGTCACAGTCGGGGTCATTCTTCCCTAGTAAGAACAAAATCATAGCTTCAGATCACTTTTATATCTATGAATCTTTTAAAGAAAAAGGACCATGTCAAACAGATTTAAAAAATAAACAGAGAAAAGAACCACAGGAATAATTAACCACATCAGAAGTTCAGATAGGACTCAAGCATATGACAGTGAAAAATCTAACCATCAAAAGCCATGAAGATAACCTAGAACTTTTGCCTTAAAAATCTGGATATATTAGTATCATAGCTTCAAAAAGTGAGAATGGTCTAAACTGGGAACCTGGAAATCTATTTCCTGATCCTTTCTTGCTCTCTACTGTACAACTGCACTAAGAAAGCTTCACAGATCAGTCATAGATTAATAAATAGGTTTTCTACACTGAGCTGTCTTATAAACACTTACACATGGTATAAAATCAATGGATTACTTAAAAAATACATAGGAAAAATGAGACACTCTATATCTACTCCCAAGATTGCCATGGACATGAACTGACTTGATAGTAAAGGACAGTAACAATCCATTCAGACAGAATGTAACTGAACTATGCAAGACCTAGAGCCTAGACGTGACTGTTCTACCAACTAGATGTGTGACATTAGGGTGAATGTCTATAAAATAAAGAGGTAACATTGTAACATTCTAATTCTGTAACTCCGGTTTATTATCTCCCAGAAATTCATGGCTTAATCAGCACTAAATTCTTAGGCATCATTTTTATAAACATTAAGTCTAATAAGTCTTGATAAAAATCAATCTCGATTGGCCACAAAATAACAGAAAGTCTGTTTTTCTTTTGATGCATTCTCTAATAAACGTAACAGCAGGACACAGTCAATAAAATGCCAAGATGAGAAAATATTCCTTTAAAACAAAGTATCATTTGATAAAAACTAATTAGCCAAAATGGATCTTACATTAAATCTTTAATCTTAAAAATTAAATTTGTATAGTTTATAATTTTAGACTTATCCCTAGGTTATTCAAAGACCAGTTAAAATGCCAAATTTGGAAGCCAAACCATATAAGCCTAGAGAAAAATAAATCATACTTAAAAACTTTCCATCTGCAAATGAGAGTGGATGGGCTCCAGGTTTCTCGATCTTGAAGATTTCATCTGTGAATATTATCCTACAGTCATTTAATGTTCCTTCTGAACCCCTGTTTAAAAAATGAAGACCAGTTAGCGTCTGCCAGTAAAATATAAACCATAGGCAACTAATTATTAAAGTCAGTTTGGAAACTCATTGAACTTTGTCTATTTACAAATTGGGAGTGGAATTATTCCAATCACTCAGAGCTACTGTTTCCAACAGCAGGAAAAGTCCAGTGGTGATTAGTTAACATTCAAAGGTAACTTTATTTCAAAGCTAACTTTATTATGAAAAAATCCAGACTATGTAATTTAGATTATTCTTGTAAGAAAATAACTGCCTGACAATTTTACAGACTAGTGAAAATAAAACACTGTCAATTAAACTGTTAAGAATTTAACCGTTTTTTTTTTAAAGACAGTAAATTTCTGGACAAAAACACGATCACCATTTATGTACCGTGGACTGCCAAAAAAACAAACAGATTCATCCTGGAGAGGGTTAAACCAGGCTACTCCTTGGAGGCAAGGATTCTGGGGCTTCGTCTGACATACTTTAGACATGTTGTAAGGAGGGACAGGTCCTTGGAGAGGGACATCATGCTTGGGAGAGTGGAGGGACGGTGCAGGAGGGGAAGACCCTCTATGAGGTGGATTGATTCAGTGCCTGGGATAATCAGGATGGGAGTGTCAGAGACAGTGGAACTGGCACAGGATAGAGCAGAGTTTAGGACTGTTGTACACAGGGTCACTATGAGTCGCAAGTGACTCGACTGCACATAACAACGACAATTAAAAAAACTAAGTCTTAGTTGCCATAAACTCAATTTATAACTAGTCTGCGTCTATTTTTTTTTTTCATTTTCCTGTGATATTGTTAGGTGCTGTTGAGCCCACTGTAACTCACCATAACCCTGTGTTCAACAGAACCAGACCCTGACGGCCCTGCGTCATTCCCAAAACGATGGCTCCACTTGCACCCAGAGCTGGCAGCTACTCCCACCATCTGGCTCAGGGTCTTCCTTTTCTTCACTGACCTTCTAACTTTATCATCACTGGGTCCAAATGAATTTCAAATTTTAACATGTCCCTATGAAATGCCACTAGCTCATCAGACTCAAGCATCTACTTTGATTTTTTTACTACCTTTTGCTTGGTGATTTCCCCCCCTTTTTTCTTTTTATTAATTTCAATGAACATTTACAGAGATTTTGAATTTCCATTCATTCACTGTTGCACTTTTCTTCCCCCCTCCCCCCCCCCAATCCCCTTCTTTTTATTTTTAAAAGCTTTAATGTCAGGGAGCTCTGATGGCCTAGTGGCAAAAAGCTGCACTGCAATTCCAGAGGTATGCGGTTTGAATCTACCAGATGCTTTGCTGGAGAAGGAGGGACAATCTCCTTCAAATCAGTTGGATCTGATTTGAACAGTACACACTCAAAAAATATTTTGTAAAGCTTTAATGTCAGATATACACAAATGTAGAAAACCTCATAAATAACCTGTTATAGGGTATGCATTCTTGTAATCAGCAATCCTAACAGGAAGTAAAAAGTATTGTGGCGTCTATCCTAGAAGCCCTGATGTGACCCATGACCTTTCCTAATCTCAACCCATTTACTGCTTCCCATCTAGTATGTATTTCCTTCAGTCTTATCGTCTGTCTGTCTCCATAACCATCATGGTACTGTTTAGTCTGTGCTTTAATTTCTCAAATCTTTAAATTACTATATTGTCTTTCTTTTCAATTTACTGTTATAAAACCCTCATCATTTCTACTATGGTTTCTAATACTCTAGATTCTGTTATTTGCATTCCTATAGAATACTTTAAAAACTTCTTTTCTATCATCTGTATTCCCAAGACATGATGATTTGAATTTGTAGCTGCTCTGTTAGATGCAGAAGTCAGCAAGCCTCAACCCATTCCCTGCCTTTACAAAGTTTTACTGGAACACAGCCACACCTCCTTACGCATGTAATATGTTTACATGGCTGTTTTCATGTTAGGATGGCAAAGTTGAGTAATTGTGACAGAGACTATTTGCTTCCCAAATGCTCACTTACTTACTCTCTTGCCCTTTACAGGGGGTAAAACCTGCTCCTCTTTTTTCTAGAGACACAGATTCAGACTTGGTTTTTGGTTTTGTGGAGCTCACTTCATGATAATATCTTATCAGGAGGCACCCAGTTAGTTAGCTGTCTTCCTGTGAGGAATGTCTACATCAATGTCTACATCACTGATGTCCCAATTCCACCATTTCCTTTCTCATTTATTTGTTGGGATAATTCTATGAAGGGAAATCTGACTCCAACTCTCTGCTTAATCAGTGGTACAGTTTCCCTCCAGCAGCCTGTCAGAGACAGTGAATCACAAGGGATGAGACTGCCTCTCCCGTAGAGCAGCTGCTGGATTCGAACCACAGGCCTTAGGGAATACAGGACAGCTTCTTACCACTAGGATCACAAGAACTTAGAGCTCAATTATCTTCGGAAGCAGTTTTTAAATAGTTCTCCAGTATCTCAGAGGGGACACATGAGTCCGTGCATTACTCAGAACGCAAGGACTTAATGATGGATTTTAATCTATAGTTAATTTTCTTCTTTCTACTCATAGAGTCCCATCTTTTACCAACAGGAGCTTCCCTTTGACTCAAAATCCCTCCTAAGGACTTAGTTTTTGTGGATTTCCTGGTTATCTTGTATGATAAGCTGTTACAGGTTCACATTGTACATTCTCTGCACTCAGCGAGGAGTCATTCCCTCAGGTACCCTATTTTATTTTACTAAGATACTGTATTTCAAGAACATAATTTGGAAAAATTGTTCGATCTAAGTTGATTATGGTTTCTAGGCTTTTTCAGTGGATAAAAACGATACAGCATTTAAATATTCACATTAATACATATATGTCAAATACTATGTGAGCTCACACAAATACTTCCAGTTCAAATTCAGAAGCAAATGGTATTTATTTTTTAAAAATGGTACATTTTTATCTTTTTTTCCCCTTCCAACCAAAGAACCCTAGTTTTCCAGGAAACCAGGAATGTCTCCACTGGAAAGCTACAAATGCTCTTTGCTGGAGCATATATTCCACAGAAAACTTGTCAAAATCTGTGGCCAGGTTTAATCTCCCTGCTTTGCACAGTTGTCAACCTAGAGCCTGCTGTATGTTTTGGAGACACTTTACCAGTGGCTCAAAAAAATCTGAACACTGGCCTTCTAATACAGCTGAAAAACCCCCCTTGGCTTTGTACTTACAATGTTAGCCTCCTGTCTGGTGGAAGGCCAATCAATATTCAACCAAAGTCCTCAAAGTAAAACAGGCCTTGTGCTTGAGACCTCCCCAATGTCTGCCACAAGGTGAGTGGATTTCTGTGCCCTGCCTCAGGCCGCTCTCAACTAGGTTTTGCACGAGAATGAACAGACTGTTCAGGGCAAAACAACTAAGCTTCGCTTTTTCTCATTCTAAAGTCACAGCCATCTCTGCAACTTCCCCACCTCTTCTCTTCAGCTCTGTCCTGTGCTCAGACCACACCTGTATTTGCCCTGGCTATGCTAGGTGGTTTAGGGAAAGAGCAGTGGCCGACTGCCAGCTACTTTACCACACAAAAGGAGAAACCAGCTATGTCCTTCTTCAAGCATTTCAACAAGTGTCACAAAACAGAGTGCTTCAAAAGACAAAAAGCCCTGTTTAACCTCAATTATTATCTCTCCTTGCCATGGAAGGCTTATCACAAACATTTCTTTAGCACAAAGTAAGTCACCGATCACCATCAGAACACGTAAATAAAGCTGTCAACTAACCCCTTAAAACAATAAATCTTCAAAGATGGAACCAAATGAACCCCTGTACCATGTGCGCTCCTAGCTCACCACCCAGGAGATTTTTTCAGAGGCTCCAAGTGGTTCAGGGAGGGCCCATCTTCCTCCTGCAGAGTAGCTGGTGGATTTAAGACCCTGCTGGATTAGAGCTGCCAGAGGACCACGGCTGGGTTAGAGTGTAGCTCCCTATGGACTATATGACACGATGCAGAGCAAGGATGCCAATTGAATGGCTAAGTCATGGTATTTCCTACTGTTTATATGTGTATGCAGTTTGGAAATGAGTAAGAAGATGAAGGAAGAATTGATGGTTTTGAATTGTGGTGTTGGTAAAGAATACTGATTATACTATGAATTGCCTAAAGAACAAAGCTGTCTTAGAAGCGCACAGAGGATGCCCTTAGGAGCCAGAAGAGTGAGACTTCACCTTATATACTTTGGGAATGTTATCATGAGGGGCTGTCCTTAGTAAAGGACAAGATGCTGACAGGCAGAGGGGCAGTGAGGGAGAGGAAGACCTTCTATGAGATGGATTTACAGTGACTGCGACAGAGGGCGTAAGCACAGCAGGCACAGTGTGAGGATAGTGCAGACAGGGCAGTGCTACGATCTGCTGTGCACCGGGCGCTAGGACTGGGAATCAACTCAACAGCCCCAGTAATAACATGATGTGTGTATGTACTACATATGTGTAATATAATACATACATGGACATGCATATGTATCTTAAAAAACCCATTCAGGGAGCTCTGGTGGCCTAGTGTCAAGAAGCCGCACTACAATCCCAGAGGTACATGGTTCAAATCCACCAGATGCTCTGCTGGAGAAGGTGGGGTAATCTCCTGTACGACTCAGATCCGATCCGACAGCAGACACACACACACACACACACACACACACACACACACACACAATTTTATAAAAAACAACCACACTCAGAATATACCTGCTGGCCATTCTCGATAGGCTTTCTGATGCGATTATAGACGCTAGGTGTTTTTAAAATAAAAGAAAAAAACAGGACATTAACATACTAAAGCAGAAAAAAACATGATTATTGCAAAAGATGTAGAAAATACATGTAAAAAAGGTGAAATTCCATAAAAATGTAAAAAAAGTTAAATAAGTAGGGGAGAAAGTTTATCTAACAAAACAGTGAAGAAGTATCCTAAGTGTGGATGATATTTGGAAACTTTTCTCTTGGAGATCAAAGAGGGACAGGCAGATGTCTACAATTACCACTTAGATACAGCAATACACCAAAGGGTAAGGGTACAGAATGAAGTTGGTGACTTAAGTGGAAGAAATCACGGATAAAGGGAAAGAAAACAAAAATGCTACAACTTACAGGTTGTGATTATCACTGTAAAATCACAAAGAATCTCCAAGTAAATGTAACTAGTAACTTCTAACTAGTAAATGTGCTAGTAACTTTAGCAGGGCTTCCAAATTCAAGATCTAAAATTCCTCATACTCTTTTATTCCAGGACAGAAAAAAAGAAATAGCCCATTTCCACACCACAAAAACGAGGAATTTTATGATTCAACCTAACAAAAAGAGTAGAAAGAATTTACTCAGCTGTGGGGGATATATTCACAATACACTCTTTAAAAAATTTGGATGAACTGAGATCATTTAATGTAAACTTGATCATTATTTAAATGAGCAAACACAGGAAAACACTGTAACAAAAAGAAAAATCTAAATAAAGGGAGTTTATCATGGCTAATCTATTAACAATCTGTGTTATGCAGACGACACAACCCTGCTTGCTGAAACTGAGGAGGACTTCATGCACTTGCTGCAGAGGGTCAAGGACTGCAGCCTTCAGTATGGACTGAGGCTCAATATCAAGAAGACAAAGATTCTCACCACTGGACCAATTGGTAGCATCAGAATGGATGGTGAAGAGATTGAGATTGTTCACAGCTTCAGTTTGCTTGGCTCCATCGTCAACACTTTTGGCATAAGCAGCCAGGAAATAAAAAAACGTATTGCAATGGGAAAGTCTGCTGTTAGGGACCTCTCTAAAGTACTCAAGAGCAATGGTGTCTCTCCGGAGACTAAGGTGCGCCCGATACAGGCCATGGTCTTTGCAATCACTTGTTATGCATCAGAGAGTTAGACAATGACTAGGGAGGACAGAAGGAGAATTGATGCCTTTGAGCTGTGATGCTGGAGAAGAGTATTGAATGTATCATGGACTGCCAAGAAAACAGATTCATCCTGGAGAGGGTTAAACCAGGTTACTCCTTGGAGGCAAGGATTCTGGGGCTTTGTCTGACATACTTTGGACATGTTGTAAGGAGAGACAGGTCCTTGGAGAGGGACATCATGCTTGGAAGGGTGGAGGGACAGCGCAGGAGGGGAAGACCCTCTATGAGGTGGACTGATTCAGTGACTGGGGTAATCGGGATGGGTGTGTCAGAGGCAATGCGATTGGCACAGGATAGAGCAGGGTTTAGGGCTGTTGTACATAGGGTCGCTATGAGTCGCAAATGACTCAAAGGCACGTAACAAAAAACAACAACAATACTCAATACATTATCTATCAAATGCCCAACATATTTTTATGTGGAAATGAGCGAGACTAATTCTAAAATACAAATGAAAGTACACAGTGCCCAGAACAGGTAGGTATGATCTTCTTGAAAACAAGGCAGGATATATATATATACCCTGTTCTGCCCGATTATGGACCAATGAGGAAACAGACCAATGATACAGAAGAGAGCAGAAGGAAGCGCTGAATACAGACACGAGACATGACATGACTCAACACAACAGGTGACGACACATCACGTGAAGAAAAGGCTGAAATAAAGATTGTGCTGTTTAGTTGGGACTGACTCAGGTGACGCTCCAGAGGGTTTTCAGAAGCTAAAAACCGCAGATTTCCCATCCATCTCCAGAGGAACAGAGAAGAGAAAAATTCTCAGGAACACCGACTAACCATATGTAGCAAGTTAACTGGACCCTGACCTCACGGAGCAAACAAAAATGTACTATAGTGTTTGAAGATCGAAAGAAAGCAAAACCACAAAGCTTTTAGAAAACAATAAAAACTCCATGCTCTCTGAACAGGGAAAAGTTTCTTGGGCAAGACAAAAAGTACAAAACAAGAAAAATAAGTAAGAAATTAAACTATTTGACAAATTAAGAAAATTATCTTTTCAAACAGTAAAAAAGAAGATGTAGCTAGAGCTATTTTCCCCCTACAGATGAAGGGTGGAAGTCTGATCTCCTCTGATCTTCCCAGTAAGAACTCCAAGACACCAGGAATGTAACTGAGGAGGAAGGAAGAAGGGGAAAAAAACCCACAAACATTTGGAATCAACTCAGTTCACTGTCACTGTGATGGAATGGAGTCACAGCTGGCCCTCCAGGATTTGAGAGGCTGTAATCATAAATCACACAGATGTGAACTACCTTTGAGTTGACAGCGCAATTCCTTACCCACTAGCCCACAAAGCTTCCTAAAAAAAAAATCCCCGAAACAAACACAACACATATACACACACACGCGCGCGTGCGCACCACCTGACAGTAAGCAAACAAGAGTGTTCTCAGCCTCAGTAGTAGTTAGGAAACTGAAAACTGAAGACACAAAAACACATTACATTATGACATACTCACCGGAGTAGCAAAACTAAACTCTCATAAAAGTTCACATGGATGAGAACAAAGAGCCACGGTATCATGCACAGTCTGTCTAGTACCCAGAAAAAGGACAGGCTCCACACCCTCATTCCACCTCGAGAGAAACGAATGTCAACCCGCACCAGGGTTAGCACAAGAATGTTATGGCAAAAAACCAAAACCAAACAAAAAAAAACCACAACAAAACCCCCAACAAAACAAAAACCAAACAAACAGAATGCCATGGCAGCACTGTGCACAGCAGCCCCAATCCAGAAACAGTCAAATGCCAGCCAACAGCAGAAGTACATCGATCTTCACCACTGTCTAATGAAGAGGAAAGATTACTTAGGAAAAGCAGATTTAGATATTTTCATCATGACTGGTATGCATTAAAAAAGGCAAGTTATTCAGGAGTCTGTAACTGAGTCAAACCTCAGTCTAGTAAGACATTTAATTACCTATGTTTGTACATGTTCAAAAAAAATTGTAAATGTACAGAAATGATGGTAGTTAAAGAACACAGTTCTGTACAGAAATGATGATAGTTATAGAACAGAGGTCGGGTCTTTTGTGCAAAAGTTACTCTCAGTCGTATTCGACTTGATGACACTTAACCACTGCTAAATGAGACTAGTGCTGTTATATCTGGAGGAACACTCTCCCACTGTGTACATCACGCTATCAACGTGCAGCATGAAGTAACCTGGGTTGCTGTGATGCTGAACCTTGTACTATTGGGGTATCAAATAGCAGAATGGACAGTGCTTGGTTGAGCTCCCAGTTGTAAAACAAGTTTGGAAGCAGGAGTGGCACGCATCCACTTCCTAAACCACATGCCTCTGGAAACTCTATGAAATTTGGAGAAATGACGATAGCTATGGAAAGGCATTAGGTCTTTTGTTCAAAGAGTCGCTATGATTCACACTTGACTAGATGGCAATCAACAACAACAACATGTTTGTAGAAAGATTTCAATCAGTTTTCTAAAACAGGAGGTATTTAGAGCACCTCACAATTCATTCTCTCCTGAGTAGGGGTACGTACATTCTGTAAAGTGTTTGAAAGGAAATCATTTGATGCTGCAGGCCAGATGGTTTTGGCTGCAATCACCCATGGGTGCTGTGCAACAGGAAAGCGGCCACAGGCAGCACAGAAACAGATGGACAAGATAGTGTCCCAGTAAAATGGCAAAAACAGGCCCCCTGCAGGCGAAGTCTGTGGACTTCTACTTTTTATTATTAAGCAGAATAGTATCATGTCAGTACCTGGACAGAATGTAAACGTGGCTGCTGCCTCAGGGAAAAGAAAACTATTAGGACCAGTTTTGAACTCTCAGTGATCAACTCAACTCCAAAACTATGCCCAAGGATTAATAGTCAAAAGAAATGTACAAAGATGCATATACAAAAGGGTGTTCACAGCAATACTTCTTTATAATAATAAAGAACAATTTCATGGAGATTAAGTTGGTTCCCCCCACCCATGTTTTTCTTTCTTTGAAACTAAACCAGTGACTAGACGATAAAATCTATTCAGAAGTATCTCACACATAGAGTGGTGACAATATTTTCCAAGGTGAAAAAAGTAACTGAAATAATGCACTTGGGGGCAACTATGGCTATATATACTTCATAAGGAACTGAGGATGGTAACATCTGAGTACTCTGGTATGCTAGTTGGCTTTTTGCATTTTTAACTCACTGGTTAAATTCTGAAAGTATAAAAGTCCAGTAAAAAAAGAAAAATCCAGTAAAAGTGTAAAGTCCAGTAGACAGCTGGCGGGTTAGGTCAACATCCCCTTGGATCAACATACAACCCTGTTTTAACACCTTTGTATACAACTTAATTTCATTTGTAAAAATTCTGTGAAGTAAGGACTTCTCAAATGAAATATTTTCAAGACGTTCCCTAAGGGCAGCTCCAACCTTCAAATAGCTGTGCAAACTTGAGTGCCTCCCTGAATAAAAATGTTTCAAGATTTTATAAGCAAGTTCTCCCTTGGTAAAGAAAAATTCCTTATTCACAGGTTATTAGCTTAAAACTAAGCATTATGCGCTTAATTCCTAAAAATGGCATCCCTTATTTTAGTCATTAAAAATCATTATGATTGATGAAACTCTTACCCCAGGAAAACTTTTGCACGAAGTTCTTTTTTGGTTCTTGAAATTGTCTCCAATGTGGTTATTTCGGCATCAAACCAAAATCCTCTTTCACCAGGATTTTCCACATTGTAATTAACCAAGACCACATCACCAACATTTAGTTCATTCCATTTCAAAATGGTTCTGGCTCGTGGGCGAAGATTCTTGACGTCCATTTCTACGGTTCCACTTTCTGGATATCTGTGGAGAAAGAAAGAGAACCACAGAACATTGCTTATGGGTCCAGCCACAGCACACTAAAATGTGACACAACCCACTTAAAAACCCTAATTGTGCAGGGCTGAGTATGCAGACACAGAATAACAGCAAAAGTGGAATCGGTTGTAAAATTCTTCCATAAAACGTGTTCTGGATCTCTCCCCTGTGATGCCCACAAATTGGTCCCTGTATGTGTGAGCTGTGGCTTGCTGACCATCATTTGTCCCTGAGACTAAGGACCACCGTCAGATCTACTTTGAGAGGGCTTTATGGGTGACTCTAGAGTATACAACACTGACTACTTAAGGCAAGTATGACTGTAATCTGGATATTCCCTATGCATTCTTCCCTAGCTCTGGGGGAGGTGTTTTCATTAACCAGTTGGTTCTGTTTTGACAACCCTGCAAGGCAGAGCACCTTCCCCCAGGGTTTCGTGGCTATAATCTCTACTGGAGCAGAGTGTCAGGTCCTTCTTCCAAAGCTGCTGAGCACCTGGGGGACAGGGGCATGGGGGGGGGGGTTTCCAATCCACAAACTCTTCTGACAGCAGAAAAGCAGTTGATCTCTCCACCACCAAGTCCTTTAGGGTAAAACCAAAGATAAAAACACGAGTTCTCTTTGCTCTGTGTTTCCTCAACACAATTTTAAGAATTCCTTTCGTAAGATTAGATGCTGATTTGTTCTTGAACTTGCAGCTAATCAATTTCTGCCATTGGTTTCATGTATAATATGAACCCATGACACACCAGTAGCCTCTATTTTCCCAGGGAGAAAAGTTGTGATGTCCTCCGCAAACCCACTTTGTTGTTGCTGTTAAGTACCATCGAGTTGGAACCAGGTCAGAGATGAGCCTCCACTAGGTTTTCAGAGGCAGTAAATCACACATAAGGAGACTGACAATCTTTCTCCTGCAAGGCAGCTGGTGAATCAAACCATACACCTTTGGGTTGGCAATGCAGCCCCTTACTACTGGGCCACCAGAGCTCCCTAGTGGCTGGCTCTATCTAGTCCTTCCAAACCGAAGAAGGACTACTGGAGCGTAGGACCCTTACACTCTACTGATTTAGAATAAATGTATATTAAGTCTGCAGGCTTCTTTAGTTAGTCAACCCATTTAATCAAGTCTCTGTTTTAGTTAATTAAAAAAAAATGGCAATCTCAAAATTAATAAGGGACCCATGAGACTATCTGTCCATTTACCTGCTCAGTGTCATAATTCTCTTCTCTAATAAGCCTTCTAAACCACCACCCAACCTCTACTCAAATAATAAGTGATCGGGGATTAGGAAGGTAGGAAGCATTTTTATTTCCAAGAAAAATCAGTCTGTTTTCACATAACTCTGACATAAGACCACTATTATAAAAAGCTAAATAAAAGTTTACACACAATCATTCTTGGATTACTATGAATGGGAAATGAGAGTAAAAATTAGTTAACAGGTAACAGACACAGAGAGATGGGTCATCAGCAAATTATCACTAAAGAAATAGAAGAAAGGGATATAGACAGATAAATGGAAATCAGAATTATAGAAGGTAGCAGTGAAGAGTGCAATTTATCAGCACAGAAATTAATATTATAAAACAAAACACGGATGAATGTATAGATATATTAAATGGTAAACTACACTGGAAAAATCTATTGCAAAAGATTTTTTTTAAATGTTCAAAAGCAAAGACTTTAAGTCTGGTGGCTTAGTTGTAGTCATCACACTGTCAACCCAAAGGCACACTGTTCGAAGCCACAGCTGCTCTGAGAAAGAAAACTGGGCAAGCTCCTCTGACGTGATTTACTGCCCCCTGAGAACCCACTGGAGGCGCAGAGATGGGCTGGCACCAACCTGATGGTACACAACCACAACAACAAAAGCTGCACCTAACCCAAGTCAATGTTTAAGTTTCACATGCATTTGAAAGCTCCGTGAATAATACTGAGCAAAGAAATGAGGCAGCTGAATAATGGTGGTGGTGAACAACGGTGAAAGCACTACAGAATGTCAGAAAAACGAAGACCTGTGTCTTGGAGAAAGAAATGCTCCTTAGCCGTGACAATGGTAACATGTATTCTCCTGTATTTGGGGCACGCTATCAGGAGGGAGGAAGAGAGAACGCTGGAGAAAGAAAAGGAAGATTCTCAACAAGGTGAACTGACACCCTGGCTGAAACAATGGGCTCAAATGTAACAAAGAAACGTGAACATGCTGTGAGCCCCGGCAATGTTCCGCTCACAACGTCTGTATGACTCAGAATTCACCACCTAATAACACAGTACAGCAGCTACAGTATGTCGATAAAATATACCTCATGAAAAGGAAATATATTTTTTCTAATTCTAGATTTTTCTCATTTCCATCAAGCTGGAATGGACTCATCAAAGATTCTTTTGGAGACTGTAATTTGCATGGGAGGAGTGTGCTTATCTCTCTCCTGTGGAGCTAATGGATTTGAACCACCATTGTATTTAAGTCAGCAGGGCAATCCCATCAGAAATAGTAAATTAATAGCTCGATTTAGGGGAAAAAAATTCCAAGACATTAAGACTACTTTTGTCCAAGTCAAGATATGCCAAGCATCCTACTATTTCTATTACTCATTTTCTGGGCATCTTCAGCTATATAACTTAACAGCATTTCTAAAGTGGTAACTTTAAAGTTCCATTCTACTCCACAGCTATTTTCCTTTCAGGTTCATATATCCAACTACATGCTCTAACCCACACATCTCAGAAGCACCTCACATTCAAAGCATTCAGAAGAAAATGAGCTACCCCATAATCTGCAATTTTAAGTATTATCCAGAGAAAACCCTTCACAACGCCTCTAATCCAGTTACTAAATCCTCTTTATTCTATCCCTTTGGTGGTAGATACCTCAAGCTGACGATGATTCAATAGTGACCCTACAAACTGAAGATTGAAATCCTGTGCCACCCTCAATCTCCACCATGCTCAAACCGTCTGTTGCAATCACTCTATCACCTAGCCCCTCTTAAATGGAATGCCACCCACTTTGTTCCGACCTGCATTCTCTTAAGACTTCTGTCAAAGTCCAATGTCTTCCAGATCACACTTTTCCAAACCATATCATACTTTCCCCAAGTGAAGACTGAAAACACAGACCTCCTCAAAATAACTTTGACATTTCATTAGCAATCTGTTATGATTATATTCTCACATAATGTGGATGAGGACACAAGGTGGTATTGTCCCCTAGAAGTGTATTTGCCAATATCCAGCAAAATTGCTGATAAATTTACCCTCTGACCTGTTAAGTACCAATGAAAAGTGGTAAAAAAAGGTGACAAGACATGTATACAAGGCTATCCACAGTATAGCCCATTCGCTGTACAGAGGAAACTCGTGTTTGCTGTGAGGCTGGAACACTGTGACACTGACGTGTCTGATGCGATAATGGTTACCCCCATGGTGGACAGTGTTTGGTGGAGGCTCCCCGATTAAAACAAGCTTGGAAGCAAGACTGGAATCCACTTCCAAAATAGCTTGCCTTGAAAGTTATACAAGTGCTCTACAAGTGTTCAAGTCTTTCATTTGTAGGGTCACTGAGAGTCGCCTACGACTCAAAGACACTTAACACCATCCACAGCTGCACTGTCTGTAACAGGCAGACTAGAAACAAGTGTCCACAACAGAAATCCACCGAGTGTTGTGGCTTACATGTGTCTTCAAGTGGGAACCAACTCATAGCTGACCCTCCAGCAGGTTTTCTAAGGAGATAAATTGCACAAGAGATTGCCTGCCTTTCTCCCATGGAGCAGCTGGTGCATTTGAACGGAGTGCCTTTGTAGTGGCAGTGCAACTCATTACCATTAGACCAGAAATGTGGACACCTGCTACAAAGTGTTGTCCAGGATAAATAAACCTTTTTTTTGTTTGTTTTTAAATTAACTTTTCCAAGAAGGTACAAACAATGTATACCACGTGTACTTTGCTTACAAATCCCTGAGTGACAGAAAGATTAAATTTTAAAATTCCTAGGGGAGCTCTGGTAGCCTAGTGGCAAGAAGCTGCATTGCAATCCCAGAGGCACTGGTTCAAATCCACCAGATGCTCTGCCGGGAAAGGAGGGACAATCTCCTCCTGTACCAGTCAGATCCGATTTGACGGTACACACACACACACACACACACACACACACACACACACACACACACAATAATAATAATAATAATAAAAAAATTTTTTTTTAATTCCTGGTGCAAATAAGGATAAAATCACAATGTAAAAAAAACCTTAAGAGACATAGAAAAAGCTACATTCAGGTTAGTTTAGAGCAACAATCATACATCAAAAAGGAGAAAAGTCGAAATCAGCAAACAAATCCTAGAATTCTATGAAAGAAAATGAATAGCAACAAGGGCAGGCACAGAAAGGAAATAATTAGGAAAGAAATAAACAAAACACAAACCTACATGCAACTAAAAAGAGAAATGAGAATGGTGGTGTTACAACAGAACCAACTGAAATAAAAGTAGGTGTACTCCAACAAATTTCAAATTGGCTAGAAAGGCAACATCTTATAACAGGATCTCAGGCAAAAATCAAAACAGACCTATAAGAAAAGAAGAAACAGAGGTCATTAAAAAAAACTCCAACTAAAAGAAGCCTTGTCTGAGGTGTCTTCACTAGAAAATTCCACAAGACGGTCAACAAGACCTACATCAACCCTATACTGAACATAGAAAATCCAAGAGATTCTACTAGAACTATAGGACTCAGCAGTGATAGGTATACAGTGGTAGTGGTTATGTGCTGTCGAGTTGCCTGCAACTCATGTACAACATGACCCTATGTACAACAGTCCTAAACCCTGCTCTATCCTGTGCCAATCTCACTATCTCCAACACACCTACCCTGATTACCCCAGCCACTGAATCAATCCACCTCATAAGAGGGTCTTCCTCTCCTACATTGTCCCTCCACCCTCCCAAGCATGATGTCCTTCTCCAAGGACTAGTCTATCCTT